TTGTTATTTCGTGTTTCAGGTTTGAAAATTCGACTATCATGTGCACTGCTCTCGCAATCAACCATGACAAAGGTGAAACACATGTTGAAGTCGCATATTGCCATGAAATTCTACGCACGGACCCACAACAGTCGATGAATGCGATCTTCTCATTATTTGGAACGCGTGCATCAATGTATGTTCCATCGATTGCTCTAATACAATTTTAGAAAGATAATGAAGGATTACATGATTATGATATTTATGTGAAAATTGAATGTAATAAATATGTGAAATTGCCTTAAAATATAACATATATCGCGCACTGCGCAAAATCTCTGTGAGGGTCCGTTCGAATGTAAGATTCGTTGGTTTTATCACTTATGAAGAAAAAATGACAAGTGCATTCAACCTTACTAAGAAGTATCTGCGAATCATTTTGGAAAAGTGTTGAAATCGTTTCATAGCTTCTCACATTGATTCATTCTACGATAATATGAAGATGGTTATTGCTAACACCTCTCGTGAAGTCATTCTGGATGAGCCATGAAGTCCATGATTTCTGTGTGGTTCATCCAATATCGTTGAATACCTTCTATATCATGTGGAACATATTGTTAAATCTTGTTGGGTGGCCCGCAAGAAACTCTCCAACCCCATTTGTTGCCAACATCATGCAAGGGTAGCACTTTATGTACAAGTTATAATATTCGTACATCAAGCGTATGACAGCTGCAACTCTCTTTTTGCGCCTTTTTCTAGTTGCATTCATGTATTTCGATATCGAGGTTGCTAACATAGAAAAATGAATGAATTAGCTACAATCATATAAGGTTTCAAACAAAACCAACATAAATAAATAACTTTACAGAAGTAAATAAAAAACATAAAAATGAATGGAAAACTCTCAGGTAAAGTGGCATGTCCAAAGCCTCATAAATACTGAAAGCATCATGAAAGACCATAAACAGATAGAAATGTCTCACAATATTTTTAAAAAAAGTGTCCCTCAAATGTTACTGTCTCAAATGTCACTGCTCCCATGAAAATAACGTTGGTAAGCCACCCTACGGTCAGGGGACATCGTTATGAAAAACACCGTCACGTCTACACATTTACCAACACATCCTATAACAAAAACCCAACCACAACCACACACCAACCACCACCTCTGAAACACAACCACCTCCACACATCGACCAACACATCCTCCAATGTAAACACAATAACACAACAACCACCTCCTCTACAACACCACCACCAACAGATCCTCTAATACAAATACAACCACCACCTTCATAACATCACCATCAACACATCCTCTAATACAATTACAACCACACACCAACCACCACTTCTACAACACCATCACCTCCACACACAAACCAACATACACCACCAGCAAACATCAAAGGTAAAGATAAATTCTCACCCCCTATTTTTCATTCGATGTAGTTACATACAGGGCACCCAAAACATTGCTAGCAATATATCAAGCACCCTCTTTCAATCATTTTTCAAACTCTCACTACTCGAACAACAAAGGTAAAGAAAATGCCCCATTCCATATTCTTCATTTTTAGGATATCACATACAGGGCACCGGCAACATTGCTAACAACAAAGTAAGGACTCTCTTTCAGCCATTTCTCAAATTCTAACTCAAACATCAAAGGTAAAGATAAACCCCATTTCATATTTTTCAATATTAACATTCTACATGCAGGGCACCCACAGGGCACCCGAAACATTGCTAACAACAAATCAATCATCCTTTTTCAGTCATTTCTCACAAACTATCATTCAAACATCAAAGGTAAAGATAAAGCCTCATTCCATATTTTTCATTTTTAGGAGATCACATATAGGGCACCGAAACATTGCTAACAACAAATCAAGCACCCTCTTTCGGCCATTTCTTAAACTCTCACTCAAACATCAAAGGTAAAGATAATATCCCATTTCATATTTTTCATTTTTAAGTTATCACATACAGGACACCTGAAACATTGCTAACAACAACTCAAGTATTCGCTTTCAGTCATTTCTCAAACTATCACTCAAACATCAAAGGCAAAGATAATGCCCCATTCCATATTTTTCTTTTTTAGAATACCACATAAAAGGCACCCGAAACATTGCTAGCAACAAATCAAGTACTCTCTTTCAGTCATTTCTCAAACTCTCACTCAAACATCAAAGGTAAAGATAATGCTCCATTCCATATTTTTCTTTTTTAGAATACCACATAAAGGGCACCCGAAACATTGCTAGCAACAAATCAAGTACTCTCTTTCAGTCATTTCTCAAACTCTCACTCAAACATCAAAGGTAAAGATAAAACCACAAATAATAAAGTGAAAGCCACAAATCACAAAATTCTAATTCTCACTTCAAACTGCAAATGAGAAAATCAGAAATAGCAAAATCCAAATTCTCACTTCAAACCGCATATGAGAAAGCCGCAACTCGCAAAGATAAAGTTATTCCATCGGAAAAAAAAATATCTGATACCTTAGGAGGACAGAAAGCATGGTAAATGGAGAGAGAGCTGGAGATCGGAGGGAAGAGGGAGAGTAGAGAGACAACTTGTTGCCACCAGTGATCGGAGGGAAGAGGGAAAGGAGAAAGGCAATCCATTGCCACCGAATAGAGGTGCGAGAGAGGAGCGATCGATATGGACGAGGGCAGAAGAAACACGAAAGAGATGAGGGCAGAAGAAATGTGCGAGGCTAATAGCGTAATAAGAGCAGAAGAAACGCATGAGAAAACACAGGCTGTGGGGTTGAACCCGTGGCCCGCGTTTAATATTAGAAGAAACGCATGAGAAAACACAAGCTGCGGGGTCGAACCCGTGGCCCGCGTTTAATAT